CCCCCCCAGGTGTTCCCCGGGAACAAGGACCCCGAGACTCCGGTGCTGAACGTGCTGCCCGAGCCCCTGGTGGGGCGGTTCCTGCGCATCAACCCCCAGAGCTGGTTCCCCAACGGCACCATCTGCCTGCGGGCCGAGGTGCTGGGCTGCCCCCTCCCCGGTGGGTACCGGGGGGGTGCCCCGGGGGTGCCCCCTGCCCCGGGGGGTGCCCGGTGGGTCCCCATACCCCGACCCGCCGGTGCCCAGCACGGGGCCGTGCCCAGGGTCGGGGGCTGGGCTGTCCCCGGGGTCTCTGACCGTGTCTCCCCCGTGTCCCCTCCCGTGCCCACCCGGCTTCCCCAGACCCCAGCGATGCCCACGCCTGGCACAGCCCGGCCCCGCCCGCCTCCGACCTGGATTTCCGACACCACAACTACAAGGAGATGAGAAAGGTGCCAGCCCTGGAGGGGAGGGGTGGGGTGGGGTGGGGTGGGGGGGTCTCCGTGTCCCTGGGGGCACCCCGGTGTGGGGCGGGGGGGTCTGTGTGCCCCCAGGGGCACCCCAGCATGGGGACGGGGGGGGTCTCTGCACCCACGAGGGCACCCCGGGACGGGGCGAGGGGTCTCTGTCCCTCGGGGGGCACCTCAGCTTGGGGCAGAGGGTCTCTGCCCCTCGGGGACACCCCGCAGTGGGGCGGGGGGGTCTCTGTGCCCCCCCCCAGTGCCGCTGAGCCCGCTGCACCCCCCCCCCCAGCTGATGAAGCGGGTGAGCGAGGAGTGCCCCGACATCACCCGCGTGTACAGCATCGGGCACAGCTCCCGCGGCCGCCGCCTCTACGTCATGGAGATCTCCGACCACCCCGGGCAGCACGAGCTCGGTGGGACACGGGGGCCACAGCGGGGGGGACAGGGACACCCGGGGCGGGGACATGGGGGGACTGGGACACACGGGTTTGGGACATGAGGGGACAGGGACACGCAGTCGGGTGCAGGATGGGGCGACTGGGGACACCCGGGATGGTGCTGGATGGGGAATGGGGTGGCTGGGAATGCCCAGGATGGGGATGGGGTCACTGGGAACACCCGGGATGGTGCAGGGGATGGGCACAGTCACCAGGGATGCCCGGGCTGGCACAGGACAGGGACAGGGTGGATGGGGTGTGCTGTGACACGCAGACTGGTGCAGGATGGGGACGGGGGAGGACAGGGACACCCAGGATGGTGCAGGTGGATGGGGACAGTCTGCAGGGACATCCAGACGGGTGCAGGACGGGGTGATTTGGGATGCCCAGGACGGGGTGATTTGGGATGCCCAGGGCGGTGCAGGCGACAGGGTCGGTCCCAGGGGCACCCAGGCTGGCACAGGGCACAGAGGGCGGGACAGGGGTGGCCGTGCCCCCACAGCCACGTCCCCGTGCCCGGCAGGGGAGCCCGAGTTCCGCTACGTGGCCGGGATGCACGGGAACGAGGTGCTGGGCCGGGAGCTGCTGCTCAACCTCATGGAATACCTGTGCCGGGAATTCCGGAGGGGCAACCCCCGCGTGGTGCAGCTGGTCACGGACACCCGGATCCACCTGCTGCCCTCCATGAACCCCGATGGATACGAGACCGCCTACGAGCTGGTAGGGACGGGGGGCCGGAACCCCCCGGGGCCGCCCCGGGGCCCATCCCAGTGCCCATCCCAGTGCCCATCCCGGTGCCCCCGCAGGGCTCGGAGCTGGCGGGCTGGGCCATGGGCCGCTGGACCTACGAGGGCATCGACCTCAACCACAACTTTGCCGACCTGAACACGGCGCTGTGGGACGCCGAGGACAACGACCTGGTGCCCCATGAGTTCCCCAACCACTACATCCCCATCCCCGAGTACTACACCCTGGCCAACGCCACGGTGAGCCCCTGAGACCCCCCGGGCTGTGCCAGTGCCACGATGGGCCCCCTGAAACCCCCCAGTCTGTGCCAATGCCATGGTGAGCCCCCCGAAAGCCCCCATCCTCCTGTGCTGATGCCATGGTGAACCCCCTCCAATGCCCCCCCAAACTCCCCTTCCTCCCGCCCCAATACTGTGGTGAACCCCCCGAAATCCCCCCATCCTGTGCTGGCACTGCAGTGAACTCCCCAAAATCCCTCATGCCAACACCGTGGCGAACCCCCTGAAACCCCCTTCCTCCTGCACCCTGACCCCCTGCCCCAATGCCACGGCGAGCCCCCCAAACCCCGCCCGTCCTCCTGCACCGGTGCCGCCCCAAGCCCGTGAAATCCCCTCGACCACAGCGAGCCCCCCCGGAGCCCCCTCATCCTCCTGCTCCAGTGCCACGGCGAGACCCCCAAACCCCCCCCATCCTCCCACACCAGCGCCCTGGGGAGGCTGTGCTGGGGACAGACTGGGGGGGTCTCAGCGCTGTGCCCCGGGCAGGGGGTCACTGGGAGTGTTTTACCCGGGCAGGGGGTCACCGGGACCATGTCCCCTGGGCAGGGGGTCACCGGGAGCGTTTCCCTGGGCAGGGGGTCACCGGGAGCGTTTCCCCTGGGCAGGGGGTCACCGGGATCGTGTCCCCCGATCCCCCCCCCCGTGACGCGGAGCCCCCCCGCAGGTGGCCCCCGAGACGCGGGCGGTGATCGCGTGGATGCAGCGCTTCCCCTTCGTGCTGAGCGCCAACCTGCACGGGGGGGAGCTGGTGGTCACCTACCCCTTCGACATGACCCGCACCTACTGGAAGGCGCAGGAGCTCACCCCCACGCCCGACGACGGCGTGTTCCGCTGGCTGGCCACCGTCTACGCCACCGCCAACCTGGCCATGGCCAGCGGGGACCGGCGGCGCTGCCACTACGACGACTTCGCCCGCCTGGGAAACGTCATCAACGGGGCCAACTGGCACACGGTGGCCGGCAGTGAGTGGGAGTCTGGGGGGGGAGGCGTGGGGGGCGGGCCGGGGACCCCCTGAAACCCTCTGTGCCGCCCAGGTATGAACGACTTCAGCTACCTGCACACCAACTGCTTCGAGATCACCGTGGAGCTCTCCTGCGACAAGTTCCCGCACGCCTCGGAGCTGCCCCAGGAGTGGGAGAACAACCGCGAGTCGCTGCTGCTCTTCATGGAGCAGGTCGGGGTGGGGGGCAGAGGAGGGCTGGAGGGGGGACAGAGGCACCCAGGGGCCGGGGGCTCGGCGGGGAGGAC